GTCGTCGTTATATATATATATATATATATATATATAACACGCATATGGCGGAGAGTTAATCGCGAAAGGCCTCGCTTGAATTTATGAAACCCGCGTAAATAACGTTTTAACAACGCCGGTTCAATTATGCAAATTGGCAGTGCTCACGGCTCCGTTCCTCAGAGCGAAGTTAATTACGCTGATCGATCGCCAATCTGTCAACCCTGCGAAAACGGAGGGGGGGAAAAAAAGATTGAACGAGCCATTCCATTCTTGGCGCGGAGAAAGGAGGAAACCGCGAATAGGAATCGGACTCTCGTATCTCATCCTCTTAAACAACGGTTCCACGGAACTCTGTTTTCCTACCTGGTAATTGGAGCACGATTGAAACAAGTGAAAATTATTTTCAGGTCAGGGCTGAATCGTGTTTTAACTATCGATTTCGAAAAGGGGGGGAAAAAAAAAAGAAAAACGCAAAGTAGGGAGGAAAAAAGGGTCGATGTCGTCGCGACATCGAGAGCAAACAATCCATTAAAATATTCCATCTCGACTCCGTGTTTGACGATGTTTCTTTTTCTCTCTCTTTTTCTCTTTCGTTATTATTAATAAATTATTTCGCTTTTTATATTATAGTTTCGATAAATCGTTTTTTTTTCCTCGAATTTCAAATTTCAATGATTTTTTTTTTCATTTTTGTTTCTCACAATACTTGGTTGAAACTTCGATTTGAACGAAGGCAACGAGATAACGTTCTCTTCATCCCGACGAGAATTATTGTTCGAAGAGAGGGAAAAAAAGATAGAGACAAAAGAGCAATGGACAAATGACTCGTGATATTCGTTCTTTGTACAATTGATCCGTTTTTCGACGGTCGATTGCTTTGTATTTCCTCCATCCCATCGGCCCAATAAAATACGCTAAACGCGTTACCAGCGAAGCGTGATGTATGGAAATTTTAACTTCGTTATGCGACGCATCCCTGCTTTCAGATTTAACCCCCTCCCCCTTTATCTCTCCTCTCTCTTTCTCCCTCGATATCATTCCCTCTACGATGCAAATTTCTATAGCTGTTCACGGTAACGCGTTTAAAATAAATCCACTACACACGTTTGATGAATTTCACTCAGGTAGGTGCGCTCAGTTATTCGTTTTAATTATTTGAAACGAATATATAGAATATTCCTTGATCTTTCTTCCAATGTAATTCTATATAATAAATTAAAGAATAGATAAAATTAAAATCGAAACTTTTTTGAAAATGGATGAATAAAGCGATAACTCTTCTTAAAGCAATCTTCGATTCGCTATTAATGCAACTTGTAAATAAAATAAAATAATTCTGGGGAGAATTTTCATTTTTTCTAAACGAATTTGCATTTTTTAATTTAAGAGATGAAAACCAGTAATCTTCGATCAAAAGAATGGTTACCAAGAATATGAAAAGAATATATAACATTGTTCGACAAAGAAGAACCGGAAGGATTTGTAAAAAAATCGATATGGATCTGAACGAAGCCGTAAAGAAACTATTTTAGTACGAAGCTTTACTACGTTGATATGAAACATTATAGTCCTAATATAATTAGAATATTATCCTTCTTTACCCAATCTTATTTTGCTTATACTATTCGTCTCGATTTGACGAGGGTGGCGGGATAAAAAATAAAATCGTCCATTACGATTATTTTCTTCGTTCTTCGTTGATCGATCGTGATAATTCGATCGTTCGCCTTTCTTCGAATTTATTTGACAAAAAAGAATAAAGACATCATTAACGTAACGAATAATTATTTATAAATCGATCTGTTTCGAAGGGGAGGCGATGGCGTGAATGGATCGCAGGTACAGCATATAAAAACGATGCAGGCCAAAAAATAAAGATTTTATTCATCCACGTACATCACGTACAGAATAAGGTTGATTAAATTCACTTCAACTATATATATATATAATATGTATATTTTCTGTTGATTTTCTTCTTCTTTCTCTCAATGTTTAATGCGCAAATCTCTCCAAATATCTAGAATATCTAGTATCTAGAATATCTACACGTCTTTATCTTTTCTTTTTATATATATATATATATTTTTTTCTTTCTCTCTCTCTCTCTCTCTCTCCCTCTATTTTTGGTTCCTATAATATACTCTTCTTTCTATCCCCCTTTTACTCAATCTCTACATCCCTTCGCTTTCCTCCCATTCGCAAGATCGAGAAATCTAAAATTCTTCGATTAGAATGTAATTAATATGCAGCGAGGCCAAGTATCCTTCCATATTTCTCGAAAATAATCGATTTATCGTACAATGTACGGAACGTACGATGCAGCCTCGCTAAAAATTCGCTCGTTGACAACAGCGAAACCAATTTCCAATTTACTTTTCTCTCTCTCTCTCTCTCTCTCTCTCGATTAGTCTCATTCTACGCGTCAATCGATCAATTTACTCAAAAAAATACACGTATTCTTCCTAGGATAAAAGAAAGTGGCTCTCGGGCACACGCAGAGATCGTGTAAATACATTGGAACGGTTATTCTCTGTGAAAGACTGTCCCGCGAAATTGGGAGGCCGGAACCTCTTGCAATCTTCGCACCTGGAGAAAAGCACAACAGGTTGATTCCCAATCGCGCGATCGAATCTTTCCTATACGTATAATATGCGAAATATAGATGTGGAACAATCCTCTGAGCCAAGAAGACAAGAGGCGTCGATTTAATCAAATAATAATAATAATAATAATAATAATAATAATAATAAAAATGGAAATTTCTCTACGAAGTTTCTTCAATCAATCAATGGGTCTAATACTGATGATGGATCTCGGTCGGTTGGTTTACATTTGAAATATTATAATATCTGTCTGAAATTGGAGGGAACATCTCCCTCGTGGATACGGCGAAATAATCTCTTCACTCGCATTTTTTTTCTTTTCTCTTCTTTTCTTACAAAAGTACAGTGGACTAATGATTAGACTAATATTAGAGCGAGCGAACAACGCAAGCAAAAACCTAAGGGGAACCCCCATTGATAAATATATCCGTTTCGTATTCGAATTCTGCCCTATAATAAGATAAGAGATACAAACCGAGATATGATATGGAAATCAAAGAGGGAACACGTGCGATAAAGTGGATCGATCGCATTGCCTCGAATCGAACTAGTCCATGCGTGCGAACGTCGATTAAATTACGTGTACTCTTGATTCTACACGCGCACGTTCCTTTGCAACGTGTTTCTTTTTAAAAATTTTGAATACTACTTGGGGGGGGGAAGTCTTCGACTTTTTGACTCGCTACTGTTATACATATATTGTGTATGTGTATATATATTTCATCGTGGTCGTTTTATTTTATTTATTTGTTTTTTTTTCTTTTTTTTTCTTTTCTTTTCTTTTTTTTTTTTTCTTTTCTTTTCTTTTCTTTTGACGCGGTCGAGTGAGCTCGCGAATCGACAAATTTTGGTAAAAAATCGTTCTTATTATCTGAAATACAATTGTGCGTCGTGTTCGAGGGATCATCGTGGATACGAGTGGATATGTAAGTTCAAGGGTGAATACAGATTTTTTTTGCGGGGAAAGTTACAATGCTAGGAATTCTTAAAGGCAGAAGAAAACGCGTGACGCGTCAGAATCGGTACATATACACGTTATTACGTAACACGTAAATCGTGCGAAAAAATCTTTTACGATAAAAAAAGAAGCTGAAAAATTTCTTTTCGTGTAAAAAAAGTAGATTAGAAAGGAAACGAAAATTTTTACCGCGATAAAATCGTACCGTGTAACGATTACTTCTCGAATTCTTTGTTCGAAAATCTTTTGCAATCGTGAAGATTAATATTAATCGATTATGATTTGCTATAATTTGGTTAATTTCTTTCTTTTTTATTCTCCCTTAAAACTCTACGGAAATGGACAATTTGGAAAGATCAAGCGTCGCTTGACCGATGCAACGTTTTATTCCTCGAGAATGCATGTTTATATATATATATATATACACACGTGTAATCGAACATCTAAGGATCTAATAACGATCTATATCAATCGATATATATATTGTTAAAAAATGTTCGTCGTATTATCCTCTTTCGCGAAATTTTCGTAAAGGTTCCTCGAAAATATCTTTCATGAATCACACGAAACGTTGGCACGCGTGGACTACCACCAAATTTTTCCCTTCCCTCTGCTCTCTGTTTTGATATTTCCCCTGCCAACTCGACACACGTTAAAAACTCAGCTATACGAATTGAATGGTTAAATTGGTACGAGACGGACGGGCTCGTCGTCGAGTTGTGAGAATAATTCCGAATGATTATTGTTCCCAACTGAGACTCTTTCGGCGTTAATTAGTTAACATTTCTTGGATCTGATGGCGATGTCTTTCAAGTTTTTCCCTTCAACCATGTTTCTTCTTTCTCTCTGTTTATATTCATTGATAGGAGTTGTCGCGTGGAATAAAACTGAAATCGTCAGTTTCCCTTCAAACTTCGTATAGGTTCGTATATCGTTCCTCGAATGCTCACGCGAGTAACGATTTTCAAACGCGAATCGCGTAGATTCTGTTTTTTTTTTTCTGAGATTAATTTTCATGCTGGATGAAAATTAACATAATGATCATAAAGTTAAGTTAAAAATTAAATAGAAAAATTATCGAAAAGAACGCGATCTCTTTCTTAATAAATCATATAAATACTATAACTTATTATAAAAACGAGAAAATTAAAACAATAGATAAGCTGGTATGGCTAAAGGAAAGAAAAATAGTACGAAAAAAATAAATAGCACGCGATATCACAGGAATCGTACGTAAAGAATGCAGCAGTCTGCAAAAATTCTGCAAATATAATTATACAGAAATTATCCGGAGATCAGAATTGTCGAGCTTATCATGCATAAAGCTTCTTCTTCTTCTTCTTCTACGGGTTAATCAACTATTACGAAAAGACAGCTTCGACAACTTCGAAGTTTTTGGTAAAAATGAGATCTTTAAACAATAAGACTAGTAGACGCGTGAACATCTCTCGATATGAATGTATCTAGGGTCTTCTTCATGGTCGTCGTTACATAGCCGACGATCGTTCCTCGTGCGCTTTTTTCACGATCGCCAATTTCGAATGTGGATCCGCTGCCGGGAGCCCGGTGTAAGGCGGCTCTCTGGTGCCGTGCAGCATCAGGGTCCACTCCCTGATCCATCCGTGTTGAGGTGTTTGAGTATTGAAGCTCACCTGGACGAAATTTAATCGATATTTGAAATACTCGATTTTCTACGAGAGAGAAAGAAAAAGAAGACAAAAAAAAAGAGGAGAGAAACTACTCGATTCTTCTTTGAATCTTTCTATACCTCCAACAACCAATTCCCTTGAGGATACTCTCCCCAAGTATGAGTGGTCATGAAAGGCCATTTCGTAAAACCGTCTCTGTGGTCGTCGTCGTTTATTCTCCGGCTCAGAATCATCGATCTGAAAAAAAAAATAAATTCGTTCGATATAACTTGATATAATAAATCGATCCGAAACTGAAAAGTTTCGATGAAATTAATTACCTGGTACCCATAGGGGAGGTTAGAAACAGTTCCAAATCGCCACGCCGCGTAGCGTTCACGGAAATGACGGCCTGCACGTGTTCCAGATAGTTGACAGCGTACTCGGTCCCCGCGCAGGCATCAGTCTTTATCTTCAGCAAGATCGATCGATCGCTTGTCACTTCCCTGAAAAAGGAAAATTGGTGCGGTGTGTTTATTCGCTTTTCGAAAAAGGGGGTTTGAACGTACGGTGAATTTCTCGAGAAAAGTCGATGGAAAGATATTTCCGTGTTCGAGGTCGACACACATAAGGAGAAAGGGAGGAAAAGTGGATGGTTCCGTCAAAAATAAGATAGAAAGAAAATGGAATAGGCGACGATCGATAGAGACGATCTCATCCACCGATCGTAATTTGGTAAGCGTTCAGATTTTCTATTTTACACGTGATTCTTAACTCGTGAAAGGAAAGGAAGGACGAGGTGGTGTTTCTCTGCTCTTGGGTGGCGAATTCTTGAGATTGAATCGTAGAGGAATGGAAGTACACTCACTGAGTTTCGAGCACGGAACCAGCCTCGCAATGATACCGTGGTGGCACAGTTTTCCATTTCTTTGCCAAAGCGACCATCGCACCGGCATCCAATACGCCGTAACCGAACAGATGATTGAATTCGAGACCGACCCCGTTCATCGTCCAATGAAATCTCCCTTTCGCGTCGAACAATGAATTCCTCTTCGAAGTTAAAACCGTCAAATGTTGAATATCGCGCCAGGTCAATTGTGGGCTGAAATCAAACATTCTTCGTATAAATTGGCTCTTATAAGAACGTTAATCGTGTGATTAACATCTACTTTTATCCATTTAGAACAAAATATTAATATTAAAATATAATAAACGATCGTTTGGCCAAGTAATCTTTATCGAAGAGTGATATTGATTCGCTCGAGTTCACGGAAAAGGAGGAAGAGCATTTTTTCGTGTCCAATAAAAAGATCAATATTTACCGATATCGTATCAATGGAACGATCAAAGAAACTGGGACGAGAAAATACGAGAGACAGGCCAGAAGAGTACCAAAGAGACAGTGTCGTGCATTAAACCCCGGTCTTTTAATGTTACATCCTTGTTACTGGGTCGCGTTTCAACGACAGTGCTCGATCGAACACGGAGCCCCCATTAGCCAAGACCTTCTACCCTCCGTAACCTGTCGTTCTCTTCCTTAATTTTCGGGATTTTCGACGACCAACGTATCCGTTTCGAAATCAAATTATCTTTGAACGGCCGAATATTTATTCTCCGATCTTTCCCATCTCGAATTATTGCCTACTTGTTTCGAACTTTGATAAAGATAATGTCTGATATGATAACGAATGATAATTTGAAAAAATGATCGATGAATAATTCGAGATGTATTTGTCATATTTTTTTTTTCTTTCGAAAAAAATTCGTTGCCTTAATTCGTTCGATGGATCGATGTTGGATTCGTGATATTTTCAGTAGAATAGGTCAACGATATTTCACACGGAGTCGTTAAACCGCGCGATATGACACGTTCGTTATCACGGTTCGGACCATGTCGTCGACAATAACGATTATAACGATATTCGAAATTCGTGTCTCTGAAATTTTAACATCATCAATAATCACGGAAATTCAAATTGATATAATCAATTTCCATTAACTTTAATCTTAAATATTTGACGAGAGATACAATATGTAGTAACGTTTATTTCATAATTATTCGTCAATTTGCAATATCATTTATTATTAAAAGAATAACGATAAAATTATAAATTGGATCGGTATTTTAGACGGATGATAACCCAATTGTTTTTTAATGCTCTTGAATAATTCTTTATCTCATTTTGTTATAAAATTAATTTGACGTTTTTATATTACAAATGCTTCTGTACACGTACAGAGATTTCGAGCTTTCGATTTTGAAAACGTATAATATTCGTGGGATATAACTTTCTATTAAATTTTATTTTATCGGAGAAAGAATTAAGCGTTGCACTTTCATTCGCGTTCGAAAGATCCTTAACTTATTATTTTTAATTCATTTATCTTTCTATGTTTTTTTCTTTATTTTTCTCAATTCGTTTTTATTTCTTTCTAATTTTTTTCTCTTTTTACCCTCCACCTTTTTATACGCCATTTG